AACTGTTGATTGCGAACTTTTGATTCAACTTTTTTTCCCGTCATCTATTTTTGTAAAATGCCTGCCAGAAAATCTACCAATCAGAATTTTTCGGTCGAGCCAGAACGTATCGACCAATAAAACCTTGAGAAGCCATTAGATGACTATGATCTTCTCAATGATTTTAGTTTAAGAAATTGGCCTTAAATTAGCAATAACTGCAGGATCTAGACCGGGTTTTTTTAATCAGATGTTTCACTACTGCATGTTTAAAATTTTCAGGGACCACCTGGGGAAATGTTGATGTTAGAAGAAGATTTTTTTTTCCAACCAACGGAATCAGACTTCGGTTGCGTAGGAAAAAAAATATATATATATGTGACCTGTGTTCTGTGTTCTCTGCAGTGAACTCAGTCTGCTGGGGCCCGTACGATTTTGGACTGATTCTGGCGTGCGGCAGCTCCGACGGAGCCATTTCTCTGCTGACGTTCACCGGCGACCAGCAGTGGGACGTGAAGAAGATTAACAACGCTCACACGGTGATTTACGGAGAACACATTTGTGGACGTGATTCAGTCTGAAGTCTGGCTGACCTTTTCTCTCCATTTCTCCATCGTTCTCTGCAGATTGGCTGCAACGCTGTCAGCTGGGCTCCGGCCGTGCTTCCGGGAAGTCTGATCGACCAGCCCACGTCCCAGAAACCGAACTACGTCAAACGCTTTGTTTCTGGAGGCTGCGACAACCTGGTCAAATTGTGGAAGTGAGTTTGCACTCTGCTTCTTTTTCCTTTCTTTTTTTTCTTCTTGTATTTTCCCCTCATGCTCCTCATTTCTTTTCTTTTTTTTTTGTTCTTCTTCTCTTTTTGCACTTTTAACCTTTACGGGGTCTTTTTTTTTTCTTCTGCTTCATTCTTCTTCTCTTTTTGCACCTTTTAACCTTTACGGGGTTTTGTCTTTATGTGACCAGAGAGGAAGACGGCCAGTGGAAGGAGGACCAGAAGTTGGAGGCTCACAGTGATTGGGTGAGAGATGTAGGTTGGGCGCCATCTATTGGTCTTCCAACCAGCACCATCGCCAGCTGCTCCCAGGTCAGATTCTATCTGTTCTGTTAAATGTTGGATGTTTTATGTGAAACTGTTCTTAAAACTGGAGACAATAATATTATCATTTCAAGCCTGGCAAATTTTCTTCAATGTGTAAGACTGAACTGAATGTCTCTCTCTCTCTCTGTCTCTCTCTCTCCTCTCTTTTTCCAGGATGGGCGTGTCTTCATCTGGACATGTGACGACCCTTCAGGGAACACCTGGACTACCAAACTTCTTCATAAGTTCAATGACGTGGTTTGGCATGTGAGCTGGTCCATTACAGGAAATATCTTGGCCGTGTCCGGAGGAGACAACAAGGTCAGACGTGCAGTACTCCTTCTTTAGGTTTCTACATTTCTGCTGGTGTCTCTCGCTCTCCCTCTCCTCCGCCAACACGTGCGTGTCTCTCCTTTTCTCACTCCCGCAGGTGACTCTATGGAAGGAGTCGATGGACGGTCAGTGGGCATGTATCAGTGACGTCAGCAAAGGTCAGGGCGGCGTCGGCAGCGTTGCGGACTCGCAGCAGAACGAGCAGTGAATACGTGGGGTTGACTCATGCGGGACTCGTTCCAGCCTCAGAATCTGTCCACGCTGTTCTATCTGTGGAACCTCAGTCTGGATTTTCATCGGGGACATGAGAGCGGAGAAGTACTCAGGAGAACCTTTTGGTTCTGAAGCAAAATGTTGACGCGTTTTTCGACACAAACAGAATAATGAACAGCTTTGAAATTAGAAAACACACACGTTCCTCCGAAATTGTAACTGCTATACACCCGCCTGCACGTTTTTCTCAGAAACATTCCGGCCTCACCTGTGGAGAAGAAACATCTCAGCATTACCCCGGCGTTCCTATTGACTAAAGCCAATGATCTGCCCGTTGTGGAAATGAGAACATCCTCTTCATCCATGTCTTCATCTCACTGTCGGACGGACTTCAAATTGTGAAGTCAGACGCTGAGATGAAGACATTTAGAGGCTGTCGTTTTGGTTTTTTTTTTTGGTTCAGTGACAACAGTTTGTTTATGAAATGGTTCTTGCAAATGAATGGGATTCATATTGACTCTGCGCTCTTTGGTCTAAAACATCACAACATTGGTCTTCATTATGAACACAGCTTTGTTCAGGTGTAAAAAGTTTTTTTTTTTTTTTTTTTCTTTTTTTTTTAAATAAAAAAACCCCGGTTTTAAAACTTGCCCGTTTTC